CATTCCATTCTTTCATTCTCCTTTGTTCTAATTTCTTACATTCAATCTGTCTAGAATACTTAACAGTTCTGAGAGTGAATTATCTCTCAAGATTTCTCACCACTTTTTACTTCCTCCAGTACTGTGTTTATCTCCTATTCAAGATTTGTAATAACCCTGTAACCACCCAGTGCTTCAGTTATTGATTTTAATGGTTTTCCTCTGTAACTTTTTTTTTGAGACAGGGTCTCCCTGTAGCCCCAGCTGACCCTCAACTCACTGTGTAGGCCAGGATGACCTCAGACTCACAGAGATCTACCTGCCTCTCCCTATTGAGTATTGGGATTAAAGTCTTGCACAACTACACCCAGCTCCTGTAACATTGTGAACTCTAATAAAGAAAAAAATTGTTTCTTGTTGGTCTTGAATTTTTCACTCATACTGTAGTACTTTGTACAGAATAGGTGTTCGGTAAATATTTGTTGAATGAAAAACTCAGTCACTTGATTAGACTATGCTGGCAGCTAGTTGAACACTAACTTTTTCTGGAAAGCTGAAGAAAATTCAGCAGATGGTGATATGAATTGGACTGAAATGCTTTATAAATAAAATTGAATTCCCTATTGTCATGGCTGCCAAATGAAAAATTGAATGTGGTGAAATCAAATATTCAGAGGAGGTGGACTGAGGTATACCCAGGATGATAACATTGTATGGAATCTCCTTTGCAGTGTAAATTATTCCTTTTTAAAATATTCAATATAAGAAATTCCAATCAATTGACTAACAAATATTAGCTAAGCATCTATTTATATGCTCAGAAGTGTTATGAAATCAACAGCCAACTAAACAAAGCTCTTGCACTTTTGAAACAAATTTTGAGAGCTATAAATAAATAAGTCACTCATAAAATATCCTATACAGATAAACACCAAGGAGTAGAAAAAAAGAGAAAGAAGACTAAATACAGAGTGCTACTTAGCATTTCAGGTTAAATGACCAAGAAATGGCTCACTAAGAAGTTCATTTTTAAGAATATACTTGGGTGAAATGAGGCATACAGCATGGGAATATTCACAGGAAGAATATTCTAGGCAGAGGGAACAGCAGGTACAGAGACTGTGGAGAGGCTATATTATTCTGTTTAAACATTGTCAAGTGTTGCAGGGTCTTGTGGAGGGAAATAAGGTGAAAGGAATAGGAAATTAACAGAGGGGTCTAGTGGAATCAGGGTAGTATTCTTTCTGAGTTACTGTGAGGGCCTTGATTTAATGTAGACTGATACAGAAAGGACTCAGGCCTTTCAGTGATGTATATAACATTATCTGACTCATCTTTTAGCAAGATCATGAAACATGCTTCATAAATCTTTTCTTATCAAGTCTGTGTCAGGTATCAGTATAAATCCAATTCAAAAGAATGGCAGTTACAGCAGTCTGCATTTCAGCTATATGTGCCTTGGAGCATGTTACTTATACAACTTCAGATATTTTGGTTAAATTATAAGAATTAAGGAAAATCTACCACAGAGAATGAAGTAATAAAACAATGCACTTTCAATAATAATATTTTTGTATTAGAAAAATTCTACTAAAAATAAGGATGCCTTAATGTATATAATTGTACTTATTTTTGCTATTATTATTTCAGTCACTGATTTTTGAACATGTATTAATTTTAGGGAAAAGTTAGAGGAAAGAATTGTTAAGAAATCTTTATTTCTAACATTCTGAGTTTATTTGTATTACAGTAAGGCAATGTTACGTTCTGCCTTTCACCATAGCTTTATTTTTTTGTAAGTAACAGCATATGGATAAATTAGCAAACATATACTACAAAGTCAAAATAATCTAAAAATTGTATTAATTGTCTGAAAATAATATTTAACCCAGTTTTTAGATTGGACATTCTATTCAGAATGTCGGTCTCCTTTCCTTTTGTGCCTCACTCACTTCTATAGGACAATCTTGATTTAATATTGTGCTTGTTTATAGGTAAACGTGAAATAGAGACCTGCAAAGCCATAGTAGGAATATCACAGTGAGTTACAGTGAAGTGCATTTTAGGTCAGGACTTAATCACCATTCAAACTGATAACAAAAACCGAGGAAGATCATCTGAGCCTCTGTCTCCTTAGGTGTCTTAGGTCAATCATTTTTTAGACTTTCAAAGTTATTAAAGGCATGTGCATGTCATTAACATTGGCCCACATGGGATAATACCACACACCTAAACCTTTTTCAATAAGTAGGTTTTACTCTGTTCTATGTCATTTTTTGACCACCAGTTACTTCTTAAGAAACATGATTTTCACATGTGGATTTCAAATCTTTTTTATCTTATTGGCACATTACAGATACCAAAAATTTATTGACATGGTATGTTATGCATTTTATACATTTAGTTCCTTACCTCTTTCAGTTGATTTTGAAGGATATGGTGAAAATAAAACAAACAAAGAAAAAATCCAAACCCTTTTCAATTAAGACAACAATAATAATATTTTGTGAGGCCAAGAACATATTTACAAGGCTGGAGAGATGGCTCAGTGGTTAGGAGCACTGACTGCCCTTGTAGCCACCCACATGTCAGCTAACAATCACCTTTAATTTCAGTTCTAAATGATTATGTTCTGGTCCCATAAGGCATTGCGTGTACATCATGCACCTACATATGCAGGCAAAACATTCATACATATAAATAAAAACATAAAATTTTGAAAGAACACATTTAAGTTAGTATCATTCATGAAAATATGGTTGAAACCAACAGAAATGTGACAAATAGGCAGACAGACATTTTAGATTTCCAGAAAAGAGGATGTCAAGGTGCTCCTGCTGTCCATGACAGTTGAGAGTTCTCTTTTGATGTGTTCATATCTTCATGTATTTGACAGAGGAGGGAGAATTTGATGTGGAACATTATTAACCATTTCACAGAGTCAAGTCTGCCAAATAATATTGGTCGTCATTGGCATACTATGCTGTCATTTTTTAATGAAGAACATGGAAATCTATTACTTTCACTTGCTTATAATCAACTTAAAAGACAATTATGCATTTTAACATTCTGTAATCATATAATTTTGTATATCAGTGTATATCGAATAATATTAAATCAAAGTGTGATATATTCATTTGTAGTATTTTTTTTTCTTTTTGAGAGAGTGTCTCTCTTTGTTGTCCAGGATAATCTTTTAATCCTGATCTTAGAAATGTTCCTGTTTCAGCCTCTTGAGTAGCTGCGACTTAGCCAAGCATCACCATGCCTAGCTAATTTGAATGATATTTGATACCAGTCACACAATCAAACCTAAGAAAGGAGTTACTGCAGAATTCAGAATTTATCTTTGGTTTGAGGTATAGTGTTATTCACATGTCTAAAATAAGATTTTCTCTCTAATTATTGCCCATGTTTCCCTTGTCTCTGACCTTGTTAAGACCCTATATCTAAATGCTCTGATAGGCAAGCCAGAATCAGAACCTTGCTTTTCTTGTAGCAGATTGTTCTTGGATATTGAACATAATAGCTATTCTCTCTCTAGAAGGAAACCAGGGAGTCCTTTCAAGGAAGAGAGGACACACATGAATAGCTAAGAAATTACTGGTGTTCACCACAAGTGGGGACACCACACACAGACACAGACACAGACACAGACACAGACACACACACACACACACACACACACACACAAAATAATTAAAATAACACACAGATTGAGAGATTTTCACACCCTGTACACACACACACACACACACACACACACACACAATAATGATAATAAATTGCACAGTTTGATAGTTTGGTACCAAGTCGTTTCTGTGGATTGAGGCCCAAATTCTATCACCACCAGAATAAACAAGGAGTATGGTCTGATTGAGATCCTTGGCCTATGTGACTGCACTTGTGACTTTGACTATGTTATTTTATACATACCACTTTCTTCATAAAATGGGGGCAATCCCACTATATAACTTATAGAATATGTATTAAGATTTAATGAACTAAAGTTGGAGAGATGGCTCAGTGGTTAAGAACACTTGCTGCTCTTTCAGAGGACCTGAGTTTGGTTCCCAGCTCTCATATTAAGTGGTTCACAACTACTCTATAACTCCAGCTCAAGAAGATTGAATGTCCTCTCCTGGCCTCTGCAGGCACTGCACTCATGTGCAGAGACACATACACATAAATAAGGAGAATAAGAATGATCCTTAAAAAAGGATCTAATGAATTAATACATGTGAAGTACTAAGTACAATGGACAGCATATTGAGAGCTCTGTCAAAATACTAGCTGTAATTATTAAATGGTTATGCCTTTGAACATTACAGTCACTCAGTGTAAGGACCTCAGTTCTTTTACTTATAGACTCTGAGGAGGAGCTTATTCTGTAACATAAAGTGAAGGTTACATAATACCGTGCTTTCATGAGCATGCAGATGATTCGAATCCTCTAAGATAGTCTTTCCTAGAGAGACTTTGAAGCAGGAGTCCTGAGGCACAGCAGGAAGATACTAAATTTCAACATGACCTCAGCAGAAATTATATAACTTTCCTCTTTTGATATTCCAAATAAAAAAAGAGATCCACTGCTAAAAATGTGAGAAGTATGTACCTGTTAGAGTGTCTTTTAGTTGAGTTGTAACATATCTCTTTATTATTTTCAGCCAATAAGTCTTTATTTATGGGAGTTCACATGTGATTCATTCACTGTCCATTGAGGTTGCAGAAGTTCAAGTCCATGCCTTCTCAAAGAAACAGATAGTTCTTAAACAGGTTGTGCTATCAACCTTGCCACAGTTCTTTTATGTCTGCTTTAATATAGGACATATTCATGATAACTTCAAAATTCTCCACCATTTTAGGACTAATCTGCTTCTCAGTTGCTGACACTCTATACTTCTCTTAAGAATGAGTTCATTTCATATTCATTCCTAAGCCATCACACTCAGGAATACTACAGTCTGCAGGTTATGCCAATGCCCAAAGCCAATAGAAAAACTTGTCTTTCATAGTTTGTTAACTGTCTTGTAATTCTTTCCCACAGACCTAAGAAACAGTCCTGTGAGTCAAGCAAACCACAAGCGTTACTGTATGGGGTGTTTCCAACAATGTGTGGTTTCTGCAGAAGCCCCATTGGGATAGACCTCAGACATATCTTAATAAAGGTTTGACCCATACTCAACAGAGTTTCATGCTCAATACATGACCAAACATTCAGCAAGATTTTAATTTTTCCTTAATGATATTGTATGTTATACTGTCATAGTGCAGTGAACAGAATATCCTATGCATTGCATAGACCATATAGTTATCTTTTGTCTTCAATTATCTGACATCTTTATGACACTCCACATAGCATTCTATATGTAATTTTTGACATTTTCTACAGGGTAAGATATTTGTCACTGGTTACTTTATCTTCATTTTTCACTTTATTAATCTAAAGAAACAATTGCCTTTATTAATGTAGAATAGTATCAAACTATGAAGTAGTGTATCAGTTTTCTATTTGAAATTCCTTAACTTTGTGGTGAGATTCTATCAGATGATAGTATTCAGCTAAGGGAAGCTCATGGCATTATTAAGTGAACAGGTCTTTCTTCCTGTGCCTTTGTGACTGGGAGAAATTATAGTAATATTTTGATTATGTTTGCTTGTTCAAATATGAGAATAAAGTAAAATTGTGTGTGTGTGTGTGTGTGTGTGTGTGTGTGTGTGTGTGTGTGTGTGTGTGTAGGAACTATGTCATGTTATTATATAAAACTTGACTATATAACCAGACATGAGGGGTTCAAGAATTTTGCTCAAGACAACTTTTTAAAAAATAATTTAAAACTATTGTGAATAAATTAATTTGTACTCTCTAAAAGGAAAGTCTAAGATTGAAACAGTATTACATTTAATAATGTGGCAATTAAAAGAACTGGTCATGGTCGTCTATGGTCATTGGCATGCTTCTTATGAATACCCCCAGCATCCTTGGAGGAGATGGAAGTATAGTTAGCAACCTCAGCTGCATTACCAGTCTTTTCAATCACTAATTTGTGAATTTCTTGGGGCTCAAGAATTTCCTCTTTTTCTCAGGACTCTTACCTTGTTTATCATGCTGACTTAATTAGCTTTGATCTGTGAGTGTCCGTGTCTCTCTATCCAGACAGAGCTATCTCCAGAGTCTAGACTAGAGCAAATTGGAACAATTGCCCAGGGCTCTGCTCTGCTGGGGAAACCAAGCAGCTGGGGTAGCTGCAGCACATTTGTGGATGGTTGCTACAGAGTGAGGAGGGGATGAGAGATAATAAAATGGAGCACAGTTGACAAAAAACAATGAACAGTTATTACAGTATCTCTACACCTCCAACTTAACCCATTCTGGGTAAAGGTAGTCACTCCAGTGCTCTAAGCACTGTGAATCATTGCTAATGAACTCCCTTTCCATATCTTAGCCACCTTATTTTCAACATGAATTCATGCCTAACATCTGTCAAAGTCTAACTTTGTATCTTCACACTTGTAACGAATTACTTAATATGTAATGGAGTAAAAAAATAATTCTTTCTAGGATGCCACTTCTAAAGGTGAACACTCAGGAGTAAGTGAGGCCTATATACCTGAATTTTTAAAAAGCATCCAAGATAGCTTATGAAGCACTTAAGTAGGTCATAAAATCTATACCTTAAGAGCTATGCCAGCTCATTTACCACTCAAGTACCCAATACCCAACATAGTTCCTGGCACATAATAGTTTACTCAATATGTGATTGTGTAGCTTTGAGAAATTATAAAGTCTATGTTAGATTATGGGTACAAAGTTGATGCCATCACATGCCTTCTGTATAACTCAGGGGGCAAGAAGGTCTTATAAAGAATATTCAAGGGCACAATTGAAGAGTGTTTAATAAAGAGTATTTGTTAAGGTATGGATGGCATTAAAAGACCCAAGAAAATATAATAAAACAATTAAGGTCTAGAAATAGCCAGAAAGAGCTACAACACTCAGTAATATGAAAATATGATCCCAAGGAGGGTCTGCTTGACAGGAGGGAGCCAAAGGGACAAATACAGAGATTATCTCTCCTTCTTTTATTAATGATATCAATTGGTCAAACTCAGTTAGGACATGACAACAAAGGGAGTCAGGTGATGTACGGACTCTGCCCCAGCACCACAGAACAGGAGAGTCTATTGTCTTCAAATGAATGTAGAGTTAATGATGAACAAATTTTAGATTGAAAATAATGACTGACACTCAACTTTTTTTCTCTTAGCTCTGCCTACACGGATGGGATGTCTATATATCATTGCTTCAGATAGTCTAGGTGCACCAAAGGTAAGTCCAGTATGAGAACTCCATGAATTTTAAGCAAACAGAAGCTTCCCTTACCAGATGATTGTACGTTCCTAGTGTACACATGCAGAGAATCACATACTTGAGCTTGTGCTCATGTATGTCCTTCCATTGAATTCATAGGGTCTTATAAAATGTGATGCAATCTGGAATTTGTACATGTGTATGTACACTGCTTGTTAAATATGGGTTTTGATCATTTAAAGTCAGTAAAACTTAGTAGCCCTCCATTGACTGACTTGTGCTGAAATGATTTAGTATTCTGATGTCAAACAGCATAGTGAAAATCACACTAATGTTTAAAGAGATTGTTTATCTCTGCATCACTTTTAGAAATTCCCTAGCTTACATCCAGCTTCCCGAAACTACAAAGAGTCCTTTTCCATATATAAATTCTCAGCTTTTGGCCTTCTTTACTATATTCCCCTGTTTAAATCCTTAAGTTTTAGTTTAAAATTATTTAATTCACTATTTTTAGAGTAACATGGAATTATGAACCAAAACTTAATGATAATGAAGACAATATTTCAGAGGAAGACAAACATCTCCTCTGATACACTGCCAAAAATATGCTTCTGAAATGAAGACCACCCAGAAGCTTCAACTGACATACCATGCAGCAGCCCATATGCATTAAAGAAATAGATCAGAAATAGAAATGAAGGAAGGAAGGAAGGAAGGAAGGAAGGAAGGAAGGAAGGAAGGAAGGGGAGAAAGAAAGAGAAAGAAAAAAGAAACAGAAAGGAAGAGAAAGGAACAGAGGGAAAGGAAGGAAAGAAGGAAGGAAAGAAAATGAACTATTCGGATGTTTGAAATAGGTTCAACACTGTGCTTCTATGTAGAATTTAAAGCTGTTCTAATTTCTAAGTTCAGTTTAGCAGATGTTACTGAGTACCTATGATTTCATGGTCTTCTGCCTACAAGAATCTTACAGTTTAGCAGTAGAGGGGAGGTAAGTCACTGTACACCTTACAACTGCACATGGTGAATTTGCTTGCTAAAGACAGAAGCACATCCTTCTGAAGCTTAGTTCCTCCATGATTAATTCCACTCTAGGATTTGCAGAAAGCTTGCATTTTGGAGGTAAAATCTATGTTTGACCTTAAAGGAGGAAAAGATACTCAAATGTAGAGCTAGCCAAAAAGGCCTTGCAAAGTAGGTATAGGACAAACATTCTGAAATGTCAGATTTATCTGGGAAATGAGGAGGGAATTGGTCAGGCGGGAGACTGGCCCATATCAACAAACAGGTGAAGAAAAAGACCAGAAAGAAATTTTGGGCTACATTATGGGAAGACTTGAATATCCTAAGTACTAAGGGGTTGGCATTGGAGATCCATGGAATTTTTCTTATGAGGGATTAGAAAATACAGAGGAAAACAAATCAGTCTTCTAGCTATATGCTATAATAAATGGAGGGACAAAATTTACAAAAATCTTTTCAAAAGACCTACTGGGAGGGCTAGCTATCTTATGAGTATGGGAGCTTGTTAGGGAGGATATTACCAGAGACCAGAGATCCCTGAAGCCTGAAGGTTTTGGTTGGGATGATTCACATATTTGATAGAAATGGGGCTTGTCTGTTTCCTACCTCCTTTTTTGTCTCTTTTTATAGCCTCTTCCTCCTGAATCATATTAAGCCTATCATATTTGAATTTCTAGTGAACTATCTCAGCTTAAAATTTAGCCCAAAGGTAGAACTTGCTTATTTAGAAGCTAGAATGAAGTGGGTAAAGTTTAGATGGATAAGCAGTATTAAGGGGATTTAATAGAAGAGAGGTTGGACATAAAGAAGGGAGTGAAATCATTTTCTCATGGTCAGATTGCGATCAGAGGTGAATCTGCATTATTTCCCATATAGATGTTTTCTCTTGATTGAGGAAAGGAGAATGAGTCTTGCTATTTCTCTTGGACTTTGGTTTGAAGATGTAACACTGAATGATCTCATTTAAACTTACTTTCCATCCATGGTTAGCGTGTAGTTGAACATTCATAAATCCTGATGAAAAATCAAGAATTGCTGTTTTTATTCTACAGCATGCTAGTCAGGAATTGTGTGTGTGTGTGTGTGTGTGTGTGTGTGTGTTTGTGTGTGTGTGTGTGTGCACATGTATACGTCTACACCTCAAAAATTTGTTTCCCTTTTTAATTAAACAAGCCTACGTTCCTTGGCTTTCAGGGTGGGTTGTAAGGCCCATCTGTTTAACTAGGCATTTGCCTGATACTGCAGTGGGAGGATTGGCAAGTATAAGTGTGAATTTGAATATCAGATACAGGTTATTTAAAGCTGAATTTGAACTTAATAAATTCACCCAGAGGTGCTCAGTAATAGGTAGTTTGGAAAACAATCATAATTTGCGTAAAAGAGTTTTTTTTTTTTTTTTTTTTTTTTAAAGATTGGGTGTTACGTGACTGGGGAAAGAGACAAGAGTCGAAGCTCATCTCTGATAATGTTTTCTTGCCCCAAGTCTTTCCAGGAAGGAGGGTGGAGTACTACAATGATCTTCCATTTCGTATGATGCCATATTATCTTGAGAGCAAATAATACACAAATATTTTCTTCATAGTCTGTGCTAAAGCAGTCGGCATGTAGGACCAAGGCATGTCAATCTTTGAGGTTTATAAAAGGATTCACAATTTATGATGTGTTAGGGTAAACAGTTGGATTACATTTCTGAAATACATGTTCCATCAGGTAAAATCATTGTGATTGCAAGCACCGCAACTGTGAGTAAGTTATGTGCTAAAAGGTTGAAAATGTAGAACAAGTTTGGCTGTGCTTAACTGCTAATCCCTCTTTGTGTCTCTGCTGAATAAACTACAAGGAAAGGGGGGGGGAAGAACATTGAAATAATAAAACAGAAATGGTATATTATGTCATTTTGAGAAATAAAAACATTAATACAGATCAAACTGTTTCGTCGATGGCCCAGTCATAATCTACTATTCTAGAATTAAAAGTGGTATGGGAGATTACAAAGAAATAAGTTTAGTTGAAAGTTACTTCTTTTGTTTGGCTTTCTTGTTTCCATTCATTCCTCCCTTATTTTCTGATGCATTCTACAAAAGCACAAGTTGCCATTTTTAACACGTAGGCGCCATTGTTCAGAAATGCATTGCTAATACAAGCACAAGATGAGAATGGTTTTATGAGCTTTGCATGTGTTTGACAGCAGAAGATAATAAATGTAAATAAACCTTTAATATTTCCCCTAATTCAGTTTGTTCCATGCAAATGTCAGGAATAGAAAAACAAATCAACAAACATTTGAAGAAAACAATGTACATAACTTACTTTATATATTAAAAACAACTGTCAAACAATTATGACCTCATGTATTAGTTGGTTGTCTTGAAATATTCCTACTAGAGTTAAAAAATGCTATGAGGGCCTTTGAGCTTAAACATATTGTGTCAATCAAGGGCATATGTAATATATCTAAAGCATGGGGTAAAATTTTTCTTCATAAATTATTACATAAATAAATAACTTGCTGAAAAAGTTACAAAAATATTTGTGCTTTTATTTAGCTCTCCACAGACCTTTACTGTTAATGGATTGATACAACAGCATTTTGATCTTTTCTATCCTAACTTGAACTACAAAAAGGATATGAAGACATTCTTTATTTCATAGGCACATTTCAGCAAAATTGAGTTCGTGAAACTTCATTCATTAAATTTTTAAGTGACCATGAATTTGTTGGCTTCAGTACCTGGAGTGTAACTTTATTCTTTCAATTAAAGAACATAATTCACCCCTAGACCTTTGGCTTTATTTTTTCATATAATATATAATTTTGGTACATTTAATGGTCAGATTTTGTATTATTACAGGTGGAAAAACACCAGCCATCTCAAGGGCTCTGTGCTTGCAAAAGCATGTAATTTAATTTTTTGAACCAATTTACTCAATGATTGTTTCATGTGAGTAAATTTACACTCTTGATGACTGCCTTAAATTGGAGGGTGACTGAGAGGAAGATGACTTCCCCTTTTAAAATGTCATTTAAATCTTGGGGAGCATTGGAAGATTAGGGGGCTAATCCTTGGGATAAATTATGCTATTTAACTTTGCTAAGATGGTGTTGTCTCAGATTTTATCAACTAGATAGTAAGCTCAGCAGTTTTAGGTCTGTTAACCCTTTAAAGACATACAGTCTGACTACTTGGGTATGTATTCAAAATTTATTTGACCTAATATTTTCAGCTAGTCACGGCCAAAGAATGTTTTACTCTGATCCTTATTATTTTTCTGAATAAAAAAAAATGCTTCTCACTGTGTCATGCATATTTCCATAAAAGTCAGCAAGCTAATTTATGGCTTAACAATAAAAATAAAAGGCCTATATTTAATATAGAAATACTTTTTACGGGGGAAATTGGTGGTGGACAGTATTAAATTACTCCAGTGTGGAAATATGCAGGTGGTCATTAGTAGTTGACTGTAAGATTTACTGAGGATTTTTGTTATTTAATTTCCCTGTGTGAAAGACTATATATACATCTAACTCTGTTTGCAAATTAAACTGATGATACATATGAATAATTTTATGCATATGGGTTACATTGTCTTCTCCTTCCTTCAGGGAATATATCGTTTGCTTCATTGTGAAACTGTATTTTGACTACTCTTTCACCTGACTAGTTTCTCTATTGCGAAAGAATTATTGCTTTTCTATTCACAAAGTGTGTATGGGGCAGGCTCCCAAAATTCCTCTGGGATAAGGGAATCACATATCTGTTGAGTGTTATAAGTGAAAACAAAGATCTTTCAGAAAAAGGAGTAGGGTTCCAAAAGTACACAATTCAGTTTTAATATGATTGAGTTTTTCACTTCTGATAACATGTCTTGAAAATACTTATCATTTCTGCAGAAAGATAGAGGAATCATTGAAAAATACCTGGAGATTACTTCATCTCCAGCTCACAGACTCATGATTGTACCGCTCTACAATTCTAATTTTAATCATTTTGTAATTTAGAGAGGGATGTTTGGCCTTTTAGCACAAAATTAGTTTAAACTGACTTCCATCAGAGGAAAAACATACCACTTAAAGTCACCCAACTGAAGAAAATGAAGTCCAAGTGCCCAAGAAATGTTTACTTGGTTTTTAACACCTCCAACACTTTGAATCCTCTCTTGATAATGTTATGCATTGTTGGTCTTTAGAAGTTAAAGGAAAAGAGAAATCCGGCTAATTTCGGTGAACTTTATGTTGGGGAAATTTCTCTTAACAATGAGAATATTTGGAGATTGTGAACTAAGAACAAGAACATTATGCTAGATTCAAAGCTCCTTATCTGCTCCTAAAATCCCCAGGACCAGCATGTATTAACCTGGCAGTAGTTGAATAATGTTCCTATTTTATCGGTTTTGTGGTACCCCCTTAAAGCACCCACTGAGTTTCTCGCTTCTCAGCTCAGAAAACCATAGCAACCCCAGTCCGCACTTCTCCAACTCAGGATAGAGTTCAAGTTGTTCTCCTGCCCTCTTGCCATCCAAAGCCTGGGAAATCCTGACCACCGACCAGGTCCTAGACTTCTTGCCAGAGATAAAGAGCGGGGGGAGGGGGCGCACACGCACACAGAAATCCTGCGTGGTTTAATTGAGAGGGAGAGGGAAAGTCACCACCACTGGAAAGGTAAAAAAGCACTTTGAGAGTTCTCGGGATTCTTCAGGGCAGCATCTCCCAGTGTCTGGGGCGCACTGCGTTGGTTGCCACGCGCTGCCCCCCTGCTGCTTCCCGCACCCCCCAAGGTAGGTGCTGGCCTTGATCGCCCAGGTCCCCCAGCCGGCGATCTTCCTCCAGCGCAGCCCGCACGTCCGCACGCGGTGGGGGAGGGGGGAGGCGGGGCGGGAAGGTGGCCGCCCCGGGCCGCGCGGCGCTCGCTCATTCCGAA